TAAAATAAACTATCAAGAACTAAGAAAATAAGCAACAACTAGCAAAGCTGTTTTTAGGATAATTTTGCATAGTAAAAGGAAACCCTGCTAAGGACTACCCTTGTTTTCTTCATCCACAGAGATGAATTTTTGTGCAAGTCTCATGGGATTCAACCTGCTAAAATCCTTTCTTCCCATCACCTTAACTAGTCACTGAAACTAGAAGGGGGGGAGTGATTGCTTATGTCCTCTTCTGTAAGCCTTTCAGCCTTCCTGAAAATGTGGTGTTATGTGTGAAACCCTGCCCTCATCTCCAGGGCTTCACCCTCCTCCCCTCATGTGTGTGTTCCACTTGCTTCAGCAAACTGAAGAATTGTTGCCTCTTGAAGGTCACTTCCCCCTGAGAGGAAGGAGCAGTTTGGAAGGAAATATCAATGGTTTGGGTTTACTATCAGTTTATTACGCAAATTCAATTGTAATCCAATCCCAAGGCTTAATCTCAGGCCAACAAATACCAAATATCTTGTATCAGATTACAAACACTAGAGAATAATATGCCTCTGCATTTTAGGTGAAGAACTGCTTTGATGATAACTGCAAGGAAAAGAAAAACAATAAAAAATAAAATGTATAGAAAGTAAAATTTCAGAAGTTATGGAAGGAATCTACATGAGTTTGCTTCAAGTGTTGTTAGTGTCCTCTCCTATAGACAGGAAAGTTGCCTGAACCTAACTCAGAAAAGCACTGTTTTTTCTTCTGCATCACGCAATCCCCATAAAACAAGCAGATGTTGACAGGAAAAAGGTTTGAGTTTTTTGTTGTTTTGGGTTGGTTTTTTTTTTCCTTCTCTCTCTCAACTGTGCAGATCTCCTCTTTGCCCAAACAGGAAACTTCACAGGAAAGTTACAGCATTGCATACAGAAAAAAAAGAGTTTGCAAATGGCCAGAAGCCTTTGCACGTATTACTCTCAAAGCATCAGCTTGACTGATTGGAGACTTGCTGTTACGGGGACTGCACACCTCTCAGCCTCCCTTTTACCACTTGTGAAGAAAAAAAAACTTCTGGATTTGTGGCAAAAAGCCTGACATCTGTCTCCAGCAAGCATCCAACCAACACTGTGTAGCACGGGCAAGCTTTGGCCACCTCACCTTTCAGGCCTCTGTCTGATATGGTTAGCTTGACTGCGGAAGTGGAATTACTGATAGCCTTGCAAAAACGCACATCCTCTGTGAGAGCCTATCCCAACACAGGGACAGGCTGCCCAACGCAGTTTGACCCCAAATTGTCAAAATGGAGAAGGCACAAAGGTTTCTTCTACCCTGCGGAATGACTCAGCCAAAAGTGAGACCCCCGTGCGCTGTACAGAGACCAGAAAGCGCGAGCTGAAAGGAGGCGCTCTTTTCTGGGGCAGTGATTCATCCCACTGACCAAGAGGCAGCCAAACCACAATGGTTACTTACAGAAAGGGGTCAGGGGAGCAAACAGAAAGGAATTTTTTAAAAATAAAGCCAAAACAAGGGGGGTTTTGGATAACATGGATGTTGATACAACATAAAAGTAAACAACAGCAAAACAAAGGCATAAAATCCTGTGATGTGAAATGCCTAACGGGTGGAACAGCTCACCCTTTCGGAAATGTTTTCCCTTAATTCTCAAACGGAAGGAGGACTTCAAACTGATCTCATTTGAAATGGCTCCCCTTTGCCTTCGCAATGAATTTCTGGTCTGCATGTCTATGGGATATCCAAAATGACGTGACAGTTCTCCCAGCAACTAAGTTACTTCCATCCTCTTCAGGCTCCTCTGATAACTCATTTGAGGAGTTTGTCATTTGAGAAGTTCTCTCCTCTACTTCTCTTGCCGATGTCAAAAACGGTCCTGGAAACAGTGTGGTTTAGAAATATTACTGGGCAAAACAGAGGGGAAACAAAATCCAAGAAGAATCTCAGATTAATGAGACACCCTTAGTATGAACCTAAAAAGATGAAAGCTGGAAGTGGTATCCATTTGCTGTGCTGACACTTCACATTTCCAGACTGGAAGCAATTAGAAGGTTATCTAGTTACATTACAAAAATTTCAACCATTCCGACTGACATTTTCCAAACCAAACACCGATTTTATTTTGGTGACATAAAACAATATGGCCATTCTAAGAACAAAACTCTCAAAACTAAATTTTGCCCAAGGTGAAAAAATATCCCCAAAATATTATTACAGCTATTTTAATGATTATTTTACCATCCTCATGCTTTGGAATAAGGATTGGTAATTGGAAGTGAAATTTAGGCTGTGAAGTTGAAGTGCATTCCTAAATCATGGCACGTTCAGCACCTTTCAGAAATTTTAGCAAATGTTCACAGGGTAAATGAAACAGTGATTTGTCCTAAATACTTCTAACTTGCCCAAGTTCTTGTAGATCTTCACCATGATGACAAAAGGCAGATCCTGGAAATGGCTTATCTTCTGCCAAAACTAAATTGTCTTGAAGACACTCAGAATTTTTTTGAATGTATTTCAGAACAGAGCAAGGTATTTTCCCATAGCCTTTTTGCTCATAAAAAGCTAACAAATTCTGACTCATTTCTGAAAGAAAGAATAATCAAAGAAAGGAATTCAGCCAGAGGCAGATGTTTAGCATGGAATATTTCAGCCTAGGAGTTAAAGTCTAACAAAATGGTGAGCAGCCAAACACAAGGTTTCGTAATGACACATGTGAAGCTAGGACAAAAAGAATATTTGCATATTAGCAATGTTGCAGGTCCACCACTGTAGAGAAGACTAAAAAGTTTCATTTTATTAAGGAGTGACCTATTCAACATCAGTTTCTGTTCCATATTTCAAAAGAAGCAAGAGGATGTCCTCATACCGTATAAGAATGACAAAGTAACCTCCTATCCATTAGTAACTCAGGTGGAGGGCTTGATTGGTTTTAAGTCAGCATGCTTGTATAATTTTCAGCATAGCAGTTCTGAAAAAGAGTTGGCTAAAGACATTTCTGGTTCCCTGGTGTTACTTTCTAGTGAGTCTTCAAATACTGGGGAAATTCCAGAAGACTGAAATGATGATGATATTTTGCTAGCATTCAGGAAGGGCAAACAATGTGACCTACAATAACTGGAGACCAGCTAGCTTGACATCAGATCTAAGCAAAGTGACTGGAAAAATAAGTAAGGAATTAAGGTCAGAAATATAAAATGCTATTCCTCATGGGTGGCATTTTGAACACGTAGCATGCAAGTGGCCACAGGATGTAAGCCCTGGGAGAAACTGTGAGACTAGCTTTAGCCAACTGTTTGTGTATGGCTTGAAATTGTACAACCTTCTTATGAAAAAACAACTGTTTTCACTATCAGTAATGTACCCTTTAAGTGGAATGCAAAAAAAAAAAAAAAAATATATATATGTTTCCGAGAACTACTCATGCTATTAAATTGTTTCATCAACGACATAAAAATAAGTTTAAAAAAAAAATATAAGAAATTGTGTGGATACCACAAATTCAAGCAAATTTGTGACTAAAAGAGGACAGGCTTGACATACGCAGTGATACAAACTGCATGGTAGCTGGGCATACTCAAATGAAGCAGACCTGGATACAGCACAAATACTTCCCTCTGCTTAGGTAGAACAAACACAAAAGGTAGCTGGAGAGTGGGAATCTGGATCTCAGAAAGCAATAGCTACAGAAGTTATGAAATCATATTAGACAATAAATTCAACGTGAAGTCCCAGCATCATGCCATGACCAAAGCCAAATGAGACCCAAACACTTATTTTTCCAGGCCTTGAACATACAGGAGGCTGAGTAGCGAACTGGCCAGTGGTTTTGATGAGACTAAAACTTTAAGAATACATACAGAGTAGCTGTCCCTGTTCTGAAGACCATGCTGAGAAGTTTGAGAGCGCGCAGTAAAAAGCCATACGAATCACTTGGAAGACTGGTAAAAATGCTTTAGAGAGCCTTAAAGAGCTCAGCCTGTTCAGCTTATGAAAACTGTGGGGCAGCGTGATTTTGCTATGCAAGTGCCAGAGAGGGAAAATGCCACATACTAAAGAGCTCTTTAATCTAATGGAGAAAGACTTTACAAAAAAAACAAAAGAGGAGAACTGAAGCCAGACAAACTCAGATTTTGGAAGAAAACCCACTTTTAAAAATTTGGGAGTGAAACTAAGGACAAACTCAAGGCAAGTGATACATTCCCTCATCCACATGGTTTCAAATTAAGACCAGAGGACTTTCTGAAAAATAAATGGAAGTCAATATGGGCTCAGAAACAAGTAGTGAGCTTAATACAGAATAAATGCTTTGAAATTTCGTAGCCTACAGTCACACACACACAAGTTGATAAAAAACCCTAACCATTTCTTTACACTTAAACTCTATGAATCTATTATCTCTCAAGAAATACTACTGGAAGGTAGTGCTATCAGTCACTTGTACCTAATTTGCGTAACTCCCACTGTTTCTTTTTAAGTGAAGTGCCCACTGTAGTTACGCTTCACACTCATTTCATGGCTGTGTTCTATTTGTTAATTTTTGTTGTCATTCACAATTTCAGCACTTATCCATGTATACAGCTGGCTTCAAATATAGCTGACTTCAAATCAAAGAAAAATGAACAAGGAAAGAGGAAGCGGTGATTATAAAGAAAGAACAAGAACAAAAAAACCACCTGCACACCCATAAATTAAACCTTGAATTGTCCCTACAACCTTCTGGAAACACCATTTCCCCAGGTGATGCTGGAAATCAAGGAGTTGTGAAGAGTCTGGATAGAGACTGTTTAAAACAAGCTCTTTACCCCTTATATTCAAACACTTTGATGACTGAGACATTATAAACCATCATATTTAGCTGAAATGCAATATTAGCTCAGAAGCCAACCAAGAGAACATTAAACCCAAGTCAGGTGAAAACCGCAAAGAATATAAACTTCAGTTGTACACCTATGTGGGCCATATATACACACATGTACGTATATACTTTCACACAGTAGTATATGTATAATGCTTCTTACCTGCGGGGATTTTAGCATCTGAAATACACTGATGCCTCCAAAAGCTAATGGCAGATCTTTCTCTGTTCTGCAGCCGACATAACCTCTCAGCTAGCCCGCCCCTGCAGAGAGTAAAGGAATGCTCAATTTTGCCAGGAATCACTATTCAGTTTTGCCAAGTGACAAGCCACAGGACAGATGGAATATGTATGCTTTGACCTTTAGAGACAGAAACATACACTAAAATCACATTTTGCAGATAAGTTATCCTCATTTTGGTTTTCCAATGGATATACTCCCAATAAAACATACACTTAAGGTCAATACACACAATAAAAACATTTTCACTATCTGGGTGTCCAAAATCTTCACATTTTCAGTCCTGTCTCCAACACAAGGATTGTAACAAAAGGTTCCCAACTCTTCTTTGCACTTATGCACGTATCCTGATAGATAGTACAGACAATTGTGAATTCAAAACAAACCAGTGTAACCACCAGTTATAACAGGTTGGGGTTTTTTTTTCCCCTCACAGATTTGTTTGTCTGTTGGCAAGGAGTGATCACAAAAATATTCTTTTACCCATACTTGACCCTATGATTCATTTCACAAGCTGGGTCAAGTGTGCAGTTTCAGTGGTCTGAACACTCTCCAAGATGAAATTAATCTAGCATTCCCAAGGTGAGGAGGAGAGGAGTGGCATCTAGTGCAAATACATTTAAGGTAACACTAAAGCAATTCCTAGCCCTGGATTCAAAGCCAGAAGACATAATTTCTCACTTTAAGAACAAAAAGGCAAATGTGCTGGAAGCGGTCTTTGGGCTACTACAAAGAGCTTTGGACTACTATGGGAGTATCTGAGCATTTTTCTTTGGCTTCAGAGAAGTTATTTGCATAAAAACCTACTTCATTCTTTCCTTATCGTGTAAGTTTTTCCACAGCAAGTACTATCCAGTATACCAATAAAGATTGCTACTAAGGTGAAATGTGTCCTTGGGTTAAACTGGTTTAGGAATCAACAGAGATAACATACAGCCACCTCATGATTATGCACATGAATAGAATTTTTGGTTTATGAAAAAAGAAAAAGCCAGATAGCTTGGTAAAGCTCACATTGCAAGTGTGAAACTGGGAGGACTCACACCCCGTGGCAACCAAGAAGGAGCTAAAAAGGCTAAGCAGCACTTCAGGTAGGCTGTAAAAATCTCTTTGGCTAGCAATTACTAAGCAATTTCACCTGCAGACATGTCAACAGGTTACATGAGAAGTAGTCAGCAGTCTCAGCTGAATTTCTAATGAACAGCTATATGCTTTGCAAAATCATAACTACCACAAGAATTATTAGATGGCATGGCTAAACATCTTAAGATGAAAAGAAAAGATCACAGAATGAACCCTCTGTGATACAAGAATCACATTTGACCCACAATGATCCATAAAAGTTTTGTAGTTTATATTACTGCATCTCTTCTATGGCTGGTGTGGTTCAGGCAGGGAAGAGAGAAACTCACTCTTTCAGAGGAGGAAAAAAAAACCCAATCCCCAAAATAAAGAACCCACACTTAACAAGCTATAAAACCTGCTATATTAAGGAGGAAACCAAACAAAACTTATTTAGGAAATCCTGGGCTCCAGCGAACTTCTGGGTAAGTTAACAACCTTGTTTAATCCTGCTTTCAACATGGACTCTAAGACTCAGGGGCAACTAATACAGAAAGTGCAACAGAAGCTTTGGTACCAAGAGCAGGACAGTCAAGCACAGAACTTCAGAGAGGATAATTTATTCTGCTGGTAACACTCTGCCCAGCCACATTTCCCTCAAAACTCGAGCACTCAAGCATTATCGCACTGCAACACTTGTGGGCAAGGCAGTTCTACAGACCCCAGAGCAAACTGTCCACCCAGTTTCCCTTCTTGCTAGGGAACCATTCTCAGATGCAGCTGTAATTCAGGTTGGCTGCATGGTCTGCACAAGCCATGCTGGAACGGGCAGATGCCAGTTCAGCTAGGCTTAGAAATGCAGCAGTTAAACGCATTTGGAGTTTGCTTGCTTACGTCTTGCATGTGTGAGTCTGCAAATGAACTCTTGTGGTTGGACTATAGCAATACACAATACAGCTAGTAGCTCAAAAATTCCTTTTCCTGAAAGAAAACTGTTCAACAGGAGTGCTCTAAAATGCTACTCCATTCCCTCCACAGCCAACAGTCAAATAAATGTATTTTCTGTGTTCAAATGAGGCTAGAAAGCCTTAAGGTACCTGCACAAGTGAGCAGCTAGTACTGGCTCACAGCCTCATTTGCCCTGAACAGGGCTATGGTTGCATCCAGTCAAGCAGTGACTGCTCTTCTGTAAGCCCACTACAGTTTCACCTGTGGTGGGAACACCCTGTAGCATGAAGGAAAACCAAGTTCCTGGTTTCGTGACTATTGCACACCAGAGTAATACACCATGCCTGTTTTGGGCATGATACGCCTGCCAGGGAGGGTCTGACTGACACAACTTCATTACTGATTTGCTAACCACATCCATATTAGGATAACTGTTATCACAAAGGTCCATGAAAAGTAAAACTGTGCCTTTCCTTAGCAGCCCTTTGTGACAATAAAATTGATAGATATTTATTAATCATCATCCTTCTATTCACACTGTGACTGCAGTTAAAAATAGTTTAAACAGAAAACATCATAAAGCATTTTGCATCTGCTTGGTTGCAGAACATAAAACATAACCAAGAATGCATTTATGAGAGGTCACTGAATTTTTTATAATGTCTGTTTCATACATTGTGAAATTGGAAAATACAATTCAAGGAGATGCCATGCACACAAGGAATTTCTATGGCAAGAGAGACTTTATGGTTTGTTTCTTTTAAAAGGTAGAAACAAAGAAATTTAAACACCACCCCAAACCCAGGAGGATCAACCCCCTTTTTATCTCAAGCATGTAAAGCAAACAACGAAAATGATGCTTTCTGTTACATATTCTAATAGATTTGATGACAAAAGCATTTGAAAACTACTGATTCCTTCTCAAAACAGTACAGGTGCCCACACTGTTGAGAACACTTGTGTATGTGCTATGAGATACTGTGAACTATACAGTCAGAGTCACTCCTGGCTATACAGGTGAGAGATAAAACAGAGTTACACAGAGCTTACACAAAGCAGAGCATGGTATTAAGGAGGTGCTGGCTTCAGTGTAAGAACCAAATCCATGTTTTGAAAAAAGCTAAATGGTTAAAATTACTATTATTTTATTCCCAATTGCACAACTGTGGATTGTTAAATACCTAATGAGCTTTTACATTCAGTCTTTGGTAGTTAACTGGGTTTACTGGGACTAGCAGTCATTTTTTGGCATAGATTCTATCATATGGAAGTAACTTTTTGCTTATTTTGGTAATACAAGGTAGAGATAAGTAATATTTACTTTCCACTGTCCACACATTATCCCTCTGAAAAATCCCCTACCTTTGCTGGCTTTTCAAGCTGCAGAAACTGTTTGGCTTAATTTTGCCAGATATGAGAGGTTTGCTGGCATCAAGGGTGGAGACTGGATTCTACAGTACCAGGTCTTGGTTAATCTCCAGTCTGTATTTATTTACACACCCAGCCACTTCAAGAAGTTTAGAAAAAGACATTCAGTTCCCTCTTTTGCACAGATCTAGCCCTTAGGATGCATTTAATTGTCCTCCATGACAAACCCAACATCTGGTGCATGTGTGTGTGTGTGTGTGTATATATATATATATATAAAATTGGCAAATATATTTTGATTGCTGATGTATGATTTCTGTAATGAAGGGAACTGACAAACTGTGCTTAAATACCAAAAACTGTAATTTGAGATGCATACTTTATTGACCAGCACCTCAAACTTGCCCCCAAAATGTCTTAATATGAGCAAATTGAATGCATTTGGCAAATTGTTAATGCAAAGGCTGTTCAGTGAAGCCAAACTGCTCAGATACAATCTCCACTGCCCACAACCTTTTTATTTTTAATCACAAAACTTTCAGTGCAACTATTTTGTTCCTTTAAATCCCTGAAGGCAGATAGATTTAACAAGCAGAAATCCATGCCCTATTTCCGTATTAAATCTGAGCTTGTTGAAACACTGTATTTAAAATAACACGCTGCCTTTACTGTCCATGTCCAACAATACCCACATGAAAGACAGCTTTGCTGACCATAAGAAAGCTCAGCATCTAGTATGAAAGCTCAGTTTCTGGTGGTTGCCCCTTTACACAAACTTCAACAGCAAATCTGAAGAGTTTCGTGCCACCACGTGACAAGTATCACCAAAAGGTAACACCGAGCCTGATCTGTGACTCTCAGGCTGCTGGTCCCTAGCTTCCAACTCCAACAAGGCTAATAGGAAAAAAAAAAAGAAGAAAAAAAAAGAAAGAGCATTAGTGAGTAGGCTGTGTTTTGAAAAGTCATTTTCAATCTTTCTGAAGTGCTGGAGATCTCTCTGTGTTTATTTATTAAGGTTTTCATTCAGCGGGGCACTTACCAAAAATAACCCCACGTTCATCCAAGTTTACTCCTTTCCAGATTTCATTTGAATTTAAGAACAGTGAACACTTAAGCATCTCATTATTGAGTTGTCTCCTCATATACACTACACCCAGGATGCCACATATTTCAAAACACTATAGGTTACACAAATATATTGCCCCATCTTGGGACTGGGCAATTTCCCTCCTTCTCTCTTTGCAAAGCAAGGACAGAACTCCTCTCATATTTCCAAGTTAACTGGTGAAGTGACAGACTTCTGCAACACTCAGCTGTCCATTTCCACTCCATGGGGTGCTTGCTGAAGAAAAAAGGACCCCTAAGCACGCAGGCATTTAATTTGTCAACACTGCAAACCCATCAGCTATTATCAGCTAGTTTACAACTTGCAAAATAATAAGCAACACTGAATGCTGACAGTCACTACCAAGTGCTCCTTCAGTGTACAAAATAGCATGGGTTCGTATGAAAGATGTGATTGAAGAATGTTGGCCACATAAAAGTGCAAGTCTCCTCAACAGAGGCCCACCTCCTCTCCAGCAAAGACGAGAACCTGTTGACTTCGTGAAGTAACAAAGGATCAGAAAGGGTAATTTTAGCTTTA